GCTGTTCCGCGATGAAAACCAGCTTTAAGCAACGGCGTAGTCGAACGGTGTAAGTAATCCTACAATTTTTTGTTTATAGCATAGTTTATACAGATTATTCCCAAAAAATTATACGTATTTTGGAAATGTTGAGTGGAATTAGTCTAGAATCGGTTAATTTTATAGAAGAAAACCTTTCGAACAGCCTTAGTCCGTAAAGTTCCCACCTATCGGGCTGCGATTGGCTCACTCCTACAACGTAATTTTCGGTTAGCGTGGAACGTATCTAAGCGTTATAGGGGGGTCTACTGTATATATATATATATAAAAGAAATTTTAAATTTCATAAAAGATACATTTGGTAGACTATAAACAAATAAAACATTAATTAATCATCTTGACAAATTTCATTTACATAAACTAGCAGTTTTTTCTGGGAATAAAAAAATAAAATTTATTAAAAATTTTATTTTTTCTTAATATAAAGCATTAAAATTATCCATTCTTACTTGCGGAACAATGACTGTAACACTCTTCTAAACTGGCAAATCTGTTGCTGTTCCCACGACAACCACCATAAATAAAAATTTCCCAGTTTCTACTTTCACTATTATGATAATATCGACGAATGGCTGCTTTACACGGTCCAGTTTCTGAAGGTTGATTACAGTATACCTCTAAAACAGTAAGTAATATTGGTCTAATGCTTAGCATTGAAAATACAATAAAAAATTTCTTATCTTTAGCATTTGAACAGATGCAGAGAATTAAAATAATTGTGATGACCAATTTAATATTTACTGAGTTAAATAAAGTTAAAAATATAACATATATAAAGGTATGAACAACGATCAAAAGCGTGTGGTTTATATATACAGGTATACCTCGCCTTACGTCGGTAATTGGTTCCAGCAGAACGACTTAAGTCGAATTTACTTGTCTCCGAATCTACTTGCCACTAGGCTAAACCATAAATTACTAATTCCCGTTCTGTATTTTATTTATTAATGCATTTTTAATAATATATGGTTAATAAGGATCTATTTTAAGCTTACAAACAAATTTTAGTTTTTAATATAGTACAGAAAAAAGTAATCTAAATTTACGAATGCATGTACTGTAAATACAGTACATACTTGTAAACGTATATATTTTAATATGATTTTATGTGCTTTAAACGCTTTTCTAGTGATATTACG